CCGTGCGGAGGAGCGAACCTCGGGGCAGCCGCGTGTTCCGGAGCGCAGAGAGGCTGCAGGGGCTGACGGCGTCCCCGTGGTGGGCCTGGGCAGCACAGCAGTCTGTAGGAGCCTGCGCAGGTCTCGGGAGGCTGCAGAGAGGGTTCTGACTGCTTTTCGTGGAGGAGAGGAGGCACAGCAGCACCATTGGGTGTTAGAGTTAGGGGAGCAGCAGCTGGATGGCCCAGCGGGGCAGCTGTTCCTCATGGGAACAGAGTGTGGAATTGCATTTCGGCTTAGGCTTGGAGAGGAGTCTGCATGGCAGGGGTGCTGTACGTGGGAGAGGGAACCTACCCCCTGTCCCAGGAGTTTGCAGTCTGCTTAAATAACCTGGGGCCCTGCGGTCCTTGTAACTGCAGCTCCCCTGTCCCCTTTCTCTGCCGTGTCTTCCGGAGTGCGGCTGGGGATCTGTGTTCAGTGCGTGAGGAAGGGTCTGTGCAGAGCTGAGGGGCCGGAGAGGACAGAGTTGCTTTTGGAAAGGCGGAGAACTGTGCTGTTAGAGTTTGCAAGTGGAACAGGTGCGTGGAAGAAAGCTGGGAATCGAAGAAAGCTGGGAATCGCAGTGCGGCAGGACTGCCTGAGCGCAGAAATCCAGCTCGGCCCATTGCAGCACAGCGGGACAGGCTGAGGGCAAGACCCAGCACTGAGCGGGTCAGCGGCTTCGAGTGCCCCCCCCCCTCAGCTCTCCTTCCCCTGGGACCTGCCAGCAATCTGCTGTTGCGGGGCTCGGCATCACAGTCACCGAGCTGCTTTCCTTACGCAGAAGCATGCAGAGGTGTTTCCTGCTGCTGGTCCCCCTCTGAGACAGACTAGGAGGTCAGCCCAGACAGACACCTTTCAAACTGTCCCACCGGCCTCGCGTAGGGAACCCCTCGGCATCCCCCAGCCTCCGCACTGGTTTGGTGTTCCTGCGGGAACCGCGGCAGGTTGCTTTTAAGTCTCCCCTTCCTCCTCCTCCTCAGTGATGGAGGAATAGTGGGAAGGAACAGCTGGGAATAGTTGAGGATAGTGAATACTGCAGCAGACCTGGAAAGAGAGAATCTGCTAAAGCAAACCAGCGGTTTAAAAAAATCTGGAGAGAGCACGAGCAGCGGGTGAGCCGTGCGCACGGCTGGTCCTGGCCTCTGGAAAGCTTTGGCACCGCGTGTCCCCAGATTTCAGGTTGTTCCCTCAGATTGGTTCCGTTGTGTCCCTTCTCTGAAGGGCAGCGCGGTGAGGAATAGCAGCCGGTGGGTTTGGGAAGGGGCTGGGGAAGGCACTGCAGGATTAGGTGCTGCTGTTTGTTAGGCTGCTTCTCATGGTTTTTATCTCAAGATGGAGGGAATTGTGCTCTGGGGTTATTTTTTCTCTTTGGCGAGCACAGACAGCACAACTTTAAGCAGTGAGTGTGTGAGATGAACGCTGTCATGCGAGACCGGGACTTGGCTTCTGGCACCAGCGCCGCTCAGCGAGCGTGGTGGGAGACTCCGAGCTGCTGTGCCAGTTAGGCTGCTTCTCATGGTTTTTATCTCAAGATGGAGGGAATTGTGCTCTGGGGTTATTTTTTCTCTTTGGCGAGCACAGACAGCACAACTTTAAGCAGTGAGTGTGTGAGATGAACGCTGTCATGCGAGACCGGGACTTGGCTTCTGGCACCAGCGCCGCTCAGCGAGCGTGGTGGGAGACTCCGAGCTGCTGTGCCAGGGCTCCGGAGCGAGCGCCTGCAACGTGCTGCGCTTCATCTTCTGCCCGGGTCTGCTCATTGCCTGGCTGTGTGGCCAGGAAGGAGACAAGGGAGCGTGTTTGTCTGCCTGCAGAGCAGTGAGGCTGGCGAAATCCAGAAGACCCCAAGGAGTGTGGTAATGGGAGACCATTCGGACAAAATCCCTGTGGGTCTGGGCAAACACCGGTGCCGTATGGAACAAGGAGCACAGGCCACCCGGCCAGGGGGGCTGGTGCTGTCCCTGGGTGGGTAAGCAGGGGAGCGCCGAGTGGAAGTCTGGACAGGAGGACCATTGTCCTGAAGTGGTGTCAGACTTGGGTGTCAGCGCTTCAAAAGGACACAGAGAAACTGAGAAGATTAAAAAAAAAAAGCTACAATAATTAAAGGCTGGAAAAAATACCAGATAGACACTAAAAGAGCTTATCCAGTCAATAAATCAAAAAGAAAATCGAGAGGTGACTTGACTACCATATCAGAGTGTCTACGTGCCAAACAAAACCACCGACACCAAGACTCCATAGGGCAGCAGAGAGTTGGTGCTGGAAGCCAAAGCCAGTCGGATTCAGATTTTAAGGAATCCGTACCTTTTTTATTAATAGCCTTCTTTTCATTAGTTGTTGGAAAAAACATGTAGGGGAGTGCTGTGTTCTGCATCTCTTGTACTTTCTCCAAATCCAGACCCTTGGATTTGGAAGAGACTTGGTGGAAGAGACTGGCCGTGTACCCACCTGGCC